TGCTGCACTATTAGTTACATTGTTAGTTACATTGTGAGCTGATAACTTCCTGTGCTTTCTGCCTGTGCTGCACTATTAGTTACATTGTTAGTTACATTGTGAGCTGATAACTTCCTGTGCTTTCTGCCTGTGCTGCACTATTAGTTACATTGTTAGTTACATTGTTTTCCAGCTATTACTGTGGACTTACGATCACCTACCACCTATGTTATGGAGAAGAGAAGAGGGGGAGGTGCTCTGTAGTCTGAATACACTTCCTTTCCTAGGGTGACAACACTGCTTCTCCGTAGGTCCAGTACAGTGAGTGAGTGTTGTCACACTAGGACAGAAAGTATGTTATTGGCAAAATCATCAGGTAAAAAAAAGCATAGTAAACTCATACAGCCACCACATCTAAGGACTGGTAAGGTGCAATATATTCCATTTTTGTTCTAAGGATTAGAAACGCTTTAGAGAGCGCCTGTGCCTAGAATATGGAAAGTAAAGCTTTAAAACAAGCCATTCCTGACCTCTGTAGATGCATTTACTGTGAAGCAATTCATTCTGAACGATCTTCAAAGCTCCCAACACAGACACTAAAGTCAGGTTTCAATTTTTATCAGCTAAAAATCGCTTACTGCGCGTTTACATTATGGGGCTGGCAGACTGCTGCAATAGAAAGTCATAGGGAAAGAGCTAAGAGTTTGGTGCCTCTTTTGTGAAGATACATTTCTCCACAAGGCCTACAGCTACTGAGGTGAATGAGGGCGTGTTTCATAGAGCTTGTACTGCATGTTCAGAATGTCCAAATACTTCAGTGTGCACAGTCTGAGCACAGGTTCACTTTATGGAATCCAAGATACTACATGCAATGTATGAATGAGTCGCATAGTATCAGTGGTGTCCTGTGTATTCATATGTTAGGTGCAGTGTATCAGCGATGTTATATTAGGTAATACTGATAGCATGTAAGTGATACAATGTGACACTAGTGTTCTGTAATGAATCAGTGCCGGGAGGGATGTGTGAGGGGACCAGCACTCTCAATGTTGTATTTATATACACTGACGTAGTCCAATAATACAATGTACTGGTGATATATTGATGGAATATATTAATAGTAAAACATACCCATGAATAGTATTGTATAATTTATCATTGAAAGTATTATACAAAGTATGTCGGTTTTTTAGACTCTGGAATGTGAAGGGAGAAGAGACAGTTAAAGGAGAACTACGGGGTCAGTGTTTTTCCCCATAGTTCTCCTTAGTACTGTGTAGTGAAAACGACGCAGTGTGTTCTATATCAATATTAACACAGTGATACAAGGGATCAGCAATATTCTCAACCATTCCAATATACACTATATTGCCAAAAGTATTGGGATGCCGGCCTTTACACGCACATGAACTTTAGTGGCATCCCAGTCTTAGTCCGTAGGGTTCAGTATTGAGTTGGCTCCGCCCTTTGCCGCTATAACAGCTCCGCCTCTTCTGGCAAGGCGTCCACAAGGTTTAGGAGTGTGTCTATGGGAATGTTGGACCATTTGTGAGGTCAGGTACTGATGTTGGAGGAGAAGGCCGGACTCGCAGTCTCCGCTCTAATCATCCCAAAGGTAATCTATGGGATGGAATATATGAAGGGAAAAGGGGAGTAGGCTGTTTTTCAGTGATACAATACATGCATGATATCATGGATGTATATAATTGATATACAATGTATTGGGGATATATATAGATCTATATATACAGGTGAAACTCGAATAATTAGAATATTGTGCAGAGTTCATTTATTTCACTAATGCAACTTAAAAGGGGAAACTAATATATGAGAGAGACTCATTACATGCAAAGCAAGATAATTCAAGCCGTGATTTGTCATCATTGTGATGATTATGGCTTACAGCTCATGGAAACCCCAAGAACCCCAAATCCACAACCTCAAAAAAGTAGATTATTACATGCAATCAATAAAACAAGGATTGTACATAGAACAATATCGGACCTCTGAAAAGTACAAGCATGCATATGTACTCAGTACTTGGTTTGGGCCCCTTTTGCAGCACTTACTGCAATTACTTTTGCAC